AATAAGCTACACATAATGAGACACAGAAAGAAGCTAGACATAACTAAGATACAGTCTGAAGCTTTATTTTTGTGGTGCTGGGGATGGAACCCTGGGCTAGGCACGCTCTGTACCACTGAGCTACACCCCCAGCCCAAGTCTGAAGCTTCTTGAGTTGAACCATTCATGCAAAGTGACTGTACTCTCTAACACAAATGACTGGTCTGTCCCAGTCATGTGTTGTTTTAGATTTTGCAAATGCAATAATAAGCATATGATTTTCTTTATTTCTAAAAATATGACAATGGATATTGCTATCCTCTGGTTACATATTCCTTCCTGTGATTCAAGAGTGTGAATGAAATGTCTAGAGGTTCATCTTAACACACTCAGCCAACTACTTTTTATTTTTCAATTCAGAAAATATGAATATTCTAGAAAAACATTCTCCAGAAATTACCACCAAGATGTTTCTACTGGAAGGGATTTTCCAGAGTTAAATAAGTGTGCTCTAAAGTTTCTCTTAAAAAATCATAGACCACACTTAGCAGGAAAAAGTGCCTAATAATGAACCAGGTAATCCAGCATTTCTTAACTCTACTCCACCCACCACTGGACCTTTATTTTGCAGAATGTTTATCTTTTGTTTTGTTTTTCCATACTTGGAGTTGAACCCAGGGCTTTGCACACACTAAGCATATATTCTACTGTTGAAACAATACCCTCTGTTTATGAATTATGGACATTAGCTCTAGCCCTATATGTCTTCTTTTGCAGAAATGAAACAGTACTACTTTACAAAGGTGGATGTAGAGTTAACTGTGCCTAGGGGTAATTGGAACATTTCATTTTCTCAGTATTGAGTCCCTGTGAGTGCTATTGGTGATAGTGATATGTGGCATTTTTTTAGTGCTATTGGGGATAGTGACTTGTGGCATTGTTTTCTGCCCTCTTACTTTATTGAGGCATAATTAACAAATCAAAATTGTATATTTAAGGCACACAACATGATGTTTTAATGTATGTATACATGTTGAAGTGATTATCACTTTGAATTCATTTTCTGAGAAAAAAATTTTAAGTGGGGCTGGTGGAGTGGCTCAAGTGGTAGAGAGCCTGCCTAGCAAGTGTGAGGCTTTGAGTTCAAACCCCAGCACCATAAATCTATCTATCTATCTATCTATCTATCTATCTATATATTTAAATATAACCAAAATAGAATCATGAAAGAGCTCTAGAACAAGTTAGCACCACATTTTATAGCTAGGCCACCTGAGGTTTCAAGGGCACAGCCTTGGTGTTCCTCTCATATCACTGCCACTCCTCAATCTGCACTATTGGTTCCTTCTCATCTTCCTAACCTCTTGCTGTCCACATGCTCCAGAAGTCAGCCTGTGGGTTTTATCCTTTTTCCCTATCTCTTGGTGATCTCATACAGTCTTAGGACTTTTAAACAATTAAATGTAACTGACAGTCTGGACCTCTCCATTAAACTCTAAATTCATATATCCAAATTATTTGTAACATCCCCACTTGCATATCTAGGTAGGCATGCCGAACAGAAATGGCCCCAAATCAAAGTCCTCATCTTCTCTACCAAGTTTGCTCTCGTTAATCTTCTCCATCTCAGTGAACACCGACTTTATTTTTCCAGTTGTCCAGACTTGTGACCATGCTGTCTCCCATACATTCACGCTTCACATTCAAAGCATGAACAAATTCTGTTGGTTCAACCTTCACTATGTACACCAAATTAAGCAACGTATTACATACACTCTTACCATCTTAGTCTAGGCCTCCATCATCTCCCATCTTGTTAACTATTTGCCCGGGCTGGGCTCTAACTGTGAGTCTCCTGATCTCAGCCTCCCAAGTAGCTAGGATTACAGGGATGAGCCACCAGCACCTAGCTGCACCTTATTTTCAAGACAGCAGTTGGAATGATCCTGTTATGATTTTACTTAAGTGGGGAGCCAGTTGGCTTACAGCTGTAATCCTAGCTACTTGGGAGGCTGAGATCAGGAGGATCACAATTCGAGGCCAGCTTGGGCAAACAGTTCACAAGATCCCATCTCCAGAAATAATCAGAGCAAAATGGACTGGAGGTGCGGCTCAAGTGGTAGATTGCCTGCTTTGCAAGAGCCAAGTCCTGAGTTCAAATTTCAGTCCCACTGAAAAAAAGACTGTATTTGTGAGACTTACATACCATAGAGTTAACCATCCTGAAGTGAATTATTCAGTGGCAGTTAACTCATTTACAATATTGTGCAACAATCTCTATCTAGTTCCAAAACACTTCCATCAGTCTGAACTAAAATCCCATACCCATTAGGCTAGTGCTCACCATTCCCCTCTCCTCCCAGCTGCTGGAAACAACAAATCTGCCTTATGGTTCTATGAATTTGTCTATTCTGGATATTTCATATAAATGGAACCATACAATATGTGGACTTTGTGGCTTTGTTTTCACTTAGCATAATGTTTGAGTCCACACATGCTGTAGCATGTATCAGTACTTTTTTTATAGTTGAATAATATTCCATTGGGTATATCACAATATATTTACCCCTTTGTCTGCTGATGACATTTGGCCTGTTTCCATGTTTGGGTTATTGTGAACAGTGCTGCTATGAATATGCATGTAACAAGTATTTGAGTTTCTGCTTTGAAGTTTTTTGGATATATACCCAGGAGTGGAATTACTGGGTTATATGGTAATTTTATATTTATGTTTTTGAGCAACTGCCAAACTCTTCTCTATAGTGGCTGAACCATTTTACATTTGCACAGCAGTATATGAGGGATTTTGTACCTATCCCCTTTTTCTGGATTGCCCTCCTGATAAGTAATCAAGTGACTCTCTTACTCACCTCCTACAGGTCTTTTTTTTCAAATGCCATCTTCTCAAGGAAGCCTACCTTGATCACCTAATTTAAAATGGCAACTTCCCATCCCCCAACCCATACTTGATAGCCTCCTTTCCTACTTTGCTTTTCTCTACAGATCACCATCCAACATACTATATAACTTATGTACGTGTGTGTATATATATATATATCTATGGTTTTGGTGATGGAACCCAGGGCCTTGTGCATGCTAGGCAAGTGCTCTACCACTGAAGTACACCTCCAGCCCTTCTTATTTATTTTCTTATCGTCTGTTCCCACTACTGAAAGATAAGCCCCACGAAGACAGAGATTTCAGTCTGTGTTTCTAATATCTAGAACAGTGGCAGGTAGGTCAATAAATAATTGTTGAACGAATCAATAAGGCCTAAGAAGGTGCTTTGTCAAAGTGAGACAAAGTGAAGGGTAAGAACCTCTCTGTAGTTTAGTGGTTATTTTTCTAATGATAATGAACTGAAACTGAGCCAATTATACCTTTTATTCAGCTGAAACAAATAGCCAGTATGCAGGTATGAAGGAGATGGCTGTTTCTGAATCAGATGAAAGCACTATTTAGAATAGCCTGCAGGTACAGCGGGATCAAGCTAAAATTCATTAGTACCAATTAAAAAAAAAACTTAGCTACCTACCTATAATAAGTAAGCTTAGTACTGATTGCCTGAAATGTTTTATTTAAACAAAATAAAACAAAATGATGTTACAAGACACAGAACTTTAAAAAGAGAACCTATGTTTAAAATGCAAAGAAGTTATTTTTGGGTAAAAGTTTAAAACTTAAAAAAACTGGATCGTCTTTAATGTTGTTAGAATATACACTTGAAAATGGATAGAATGACAAATTATATGTGTATATCAACAAACTAAAAAGTTTAGAAATTGAGTAGAAAGATGGCAATTGACAAAACATCTTTGAGATAAGGCATGGAAATAAAGATTAGAGTATCACCAAGTCCACTACTACAAAACAAACCACCTCCAAGGAGTTTGGAAAATAATTTACAGCAGAAGTCAGTACTGAAAACTAACCTAACAAATTCAACCTTTTGATTATGAATTGCAAGGGGTATATTATATAACAAGTGACCACTGACACTGACTTTTCATATGTTTCATGAAGTTGTGGTTTTAGAGTAAAAATAAAAACACTGATAATTGAGTCAGTCTTCAGAGCCTGCCCACCTTCATGGTTATTAAGATCACAAATGGGGTTTTTGCTAGCCTCTAAAAGAGTTCAAATTAGTATAGTATTACATACTGAGCTTTTAACTGTGCTTGAGAAAAAGTGCAAGATGCATTTAATAGAGTTCTCAGTCTGTAGGCCAAGAAACCAGGTTTCCATGTGAGAAGCAAAGCGATGCTTCTGGTTATATGATGCAATCTATAGTTTTATATGAAGTTATTTATTATAAAATAATTCCCAAGGGCCTTTAACAATACAAATTTTATTAAAAAAATAAGTAACATCAAAACTGTTCAGCAAATCTCTATTCAATGTAACCAAAATAAACAAACACCAAATTAAAAAAAATATACATCTATATATATATGGGCAAGAAACAAGTGCATTTTTTTGGTCCCAGTATTTTTGAATATATTATCTTTATCCAAAAGGAATTACATAAATGGCTAAGAAGATATGTATTAGATGAACAGAAATATAACTTTAAGACTTGCTTTAAAGGTCTTTAAGCAGAGTTGTTGCCAACTCATTACGGTTTTGAACTCACAATGCCTACAATGTTAATGATAGTTCCAAGATAGACAGAGCATGTATTAACGTCTGATGATCCGAACAAGTACTAAATTAAGAAGCTACCAATAAGTAGATACATGAACTCTATAGAAAAATTTAAAGAAACTTCTCGGACTTCTTAATAAACGCAAACAAACACAAAACAAAAGCTTTAAAGAGAAAAGTACAAAAATAGACATAACAAAATGGACATCAATAAATTTGGTGAAGGACAACATAAAACCAAGCTACCAAAATGTAATGGGTTTTTAAAAAAAACTCAAAAAATCTAAATACTAGTATTGCTGAAAACTCCTAGGATTAATACTGGATAAAACTTTAAATGACAATACGAATAACTGATACTTTGGAACTGTAATTTTAGAAAGTTCGTTTTTCTAAGAACATGAAAGTAATCTTGATTCCTTACACAACCAGGATTTTTATATTCCTTAGACTGCATGCATGTTAGAGGAAGATTAAAGGGCAGCAGCCAAATGATTAAACTTGAACTAGGATGTTGAAGCACTGCTTTGATGGGCTTTTCTTGGTCAGAATCACATCATAAGCTTAAGATCAAGAATGAAAGCCCACAGTGGGAAGTTGTGCTCAATTTGGTGGGCCTTGAGGTCATCTCTGGCCAAATCGGCATCAGCCTTATGGGAGGCCAGCAGATAAGAAGGGACTCTCCCCAAGATCTGACTTCTTAAGCCCACAAACTAGAAGAAGTCTCACAGTCAAATAATTCACATTCCTTGGGAAGAGAGAACAGGCATCAGTTGTGTCCATCGAAGGGGGACACTGTCCAGGAGTATACTGGACATTTTGTGAAATTTCTGTGTTGCTTCTGCATCTGAAAAATAGGAAAAATAGAACAATGACAGACAAGGAATGAGAGAGAAAACAGCTATCTGACTTTTTAGGTCAGATAAGACTTATAAGAAATTAAGAAAGCAGACATAACAGACAAAAAAAGATGAACAGCCATATTGTTTGGAATGCAATATTCTGAAGGCAAGTGTAGCAGAGAAAAACACAAATTATTTCAAGCAAAGCAAGAAAAGACCATAACAATAAAAGTTATTTTTGGAGAGAACCAACTGGAGAAAAAACCATATATTAAGATATGTTAACCTGACACAAAGATAAGGTGGAATAAGAATCTAGTGCTGTCTGAAAGCTGAAAAGAGCTGAATGAGAGCTAGTGTCATGAACTTTGCTTAACCGCCTTCATGAGGAAAAACACTTCAGAACTTTGAACTTAGGAAACTGTCTTTGTGTAAGAAAACACTTCACAACTTTGAACTTAGGAAATTCCAACTTGTCTTGCACCAGGTTGCACGAGCTCCATAGAGCAGGAATCTATTTCAACAAGCGGCTTTAAAAAAAAAAACAAAAACAGAATAATTTAATATTTTTCATTTCTATTAATGATACATTTAAAAATTGCAATAGTGCTAAAATCCATCAAAGTAAAACGTACTGAATGAAAACTGAACTTACTCAGAAGTGGGTTCAGAAGTTGAGGTACTTTCGGAAACTGAAATCAGAAGAAGGATTTTAGTTTTACAACAGCATACATGAAAAATGAGAGTATCTAGTTAATACATAAGAACCATATTGTGGCTGATCAAAAATACTAAATATCAGAAATTCAAAATAACACAGTACATATACATACCATTCTCTATTACAACTTGGCAAGTGTGAGTTTTGCGTTGACTTAAGTGTTTAGCCATGCGGTCTAAACCAGAAGAATCAGTTAGGAAATCACATTTAAGGCACACTAGAGTGATGCCCCTATGAAAAAAAGAAGACAGTAAGAAAGAGAAGCTCTTCTACGGAAACCCACACACAAATTCTATAACTATTGTTTCATGTAATAACTCTTGATTTTTATTTTGTGTCATGACTGTCATTTCCCAATTTTGTTTAATCTGAGATAGCTAAAATGGTTCTGAAACCATTTTAGATGGTTTCCAAAAAACGTATAGCCATGTCTAAATTTTGCTAACACTTACTGTTCAACTTGTGGCTAAAAGCTTGCATCCTGAGACCTAAAGAAAGCACAGCCTTGGTTCCCCTAGCAAGTCACAATCTTTCCATACCTCTGCCTATCTGCAAAGCAAAGAGAAGCCATTCATTCATTCAATATGCACCTGCTGAGAACCTGCTTTGCACACTGTAGTACAAGGTACTGTGGATGCAATAGTGAACAAAACAGGTGTGGTCCATGCAGTCTATAATCTAGTATCTTATTTAAATTAGGATGAAATTAAATAAATGACTTAATATAATGATCCGTTTGTTAAAACATACACACACACACACACACACACACACACACACACACACATGTATTTCAAGTTCATTGGATACTTTAAACTGAAATATCTTACCTGTACAGGAGTTAAAAAGCAGTAGCAAACTTTAGACCAATTTTTTCCCTGCAGCTCTAGTCTTAACAGCCTGTTTTATATTTATATCTAGCTGTTATACACATAAAAATTATTTTTGTAAAACTGAAATTAAAACCTTTCCTCCCCCAATTCACCCCTCTTGCCTGGTCTCTCTTATGATGTTACTTCCCTGATACTGGGGGGTCAAAACTATAGTTATATTTCACTCTTATTCCTGAAAACATTTAATATTTCAAATATCTAATAATACTAACAATTTTTTGAGGTACTGGAGTTTGAACTCAGGGCCTTGCATTTGCTAGGCAGGTGCTCTACCACTTCAGCCATGCCCCCAGCCAGTTTTGGCTCTAGTTATTTTGCAGATAGGGTCTTGTGTTTTTGTCTAGGGCTGGTCTTGGACCATGATCCTCCTACCCATGGCTTCCTACATAGCTAGGATTACAGGTGTACATCACCACATGCCTGACTTATTTCTTGAGATGGGGTCTAACTTTTGACTGGGCTGGCCTTTAACTATGATCCTCTTCATCTCTACCTCCTGAGTATCTGGGATTATAAGCATGTACCATGCCTGGCCCAATACAAGTTATTGAGCACTTAACCCTGCATCAGGGCTAAGGGGCACATATCATCTGATCTAAATCTTACAATAATCCAAAGAGGGAGATGCTATAATTACCACTTTCTGTAGAGCCTAGGGTCAAGTTTGGTAACTTACACTAAGGCCAGCCCCAGGTTTGAAACTGAGCCCTTTGCTTCCAGAGCCCTTGCTCTTCTTCTTTTTTTCTTCTGCCTTCTTTTTTACTTTTTTTGAGACAGAGTCTTCCTATATAGCCTTCAACTCACTATGTAGCCCAGGTTGTCCTCAAACCCTTAATACTCTTGCCTCAGACTCCTGAACACTGGGATTACAGGTGTGCACCACCATGCCCGGATAAACCCTTGGTTTTTTTTTTTGGTGGTACTGGGGATTAAACCCAAGTCCTCGGGCATGCTACACAAACACTTGACCTACATCCCCAGTCAAGAGCCCATGTTCTTAAACATGATGTGACACTACTTCACTACCTTTACTCAGGCATTATTAAATAAGTCTGAACTATCGCAAGAGCCTTAACCACTCTGGGCTTCATGTAGCTACAACTTACCTTGTATATCCCTTGAAATTCATCTTCCTTAATTAAATTAAAATTAGGTCTAAAAACCCCAGGGTTGTTTTCAAGGCTTCAAAAACCTGGATCTGAGGTCAAAGCTACTGGCCTAGAATTTGATCTTAATATGATGTTATATGAAGTTTGTGTTCCACTCCACTGTACTACTGCTTATTGTGACTCAGAACAATGTGTATTCTTGCTGCTTTTTCCTTTCTGCACTTTTATTCATGCTATTTCTTCCAACTAGCATGTCCTATGCCTTTCTAAGTAGACATCTATCTCTTCTTTGAAATCAGTGACTCTCATTATACTTATTACAAACCTCTTTGTATTACTGTAGTTATTTATGTTCACACCTTTATATCCCTCCAATAAACTGTATATTCCTCGAAGGCTGGTATCATAACTGTGATCTGTGCAGGATCTGATACACTGTGTTATATATGTAGATTCAAAATAAATAGCTAAACAAAGAACATCTCATTTTAACAAAATAGGACTTACAAAATATTATTCTATAGAATTATAAATATGCTAAGTCCCATATATAAGAAATTGACCAATTTTCTTTTTAGATTTGAGACTCACGCAATTGAGAAAAAAAGCATATCTCAGATTTTTGTTGTTGGTTGTTTTCCTTTTTTTTGAGACAGGGTCTTCCTATAGCCCAGGCTAGCCTGGAACTCACTATGTGGCCCAGGCTGGCCTCAAACTTTTGATCTTCCTGCCTCAGCCTCCCAAGTGCTGGGATCACAGATATGCACCACCAAGTCTGGCTGCATCTTAGATCTTTAAAACCAAGTAGTTAATTCAAAACCAAGCACACAACTGAGCTTGACATGGTAAAAATTAAATTAAAATCTCATCATTAGAGTTAATAAATGCACTTTGATTGTTTAAAAAGTTTTTCAACAAACTTAGCATCTGATATAGCTTACTTTTTCTTAGTTCCTTGAATTCAACCATGTTTAAAAAATAGCATTACTATACTTTTTATTGCAGTACTGGGTTTTTAAAAATTCATTTATTCACATGTGCATACATTGTTTGGGCCATTTCTCCCCCGCCCCTCGTCCCCTTGGGGTTTGAACTCAGGGCCTCACACTTACTAGGCAGGTGCTCTACCACTTGAGCCACTCCACCAGCCCTATTTTGTGTTGAGAATTTTTGACATAGGGTCTTGCTAACTATTTGCCTGGGCTGCTCTCGAGCCTGATCTCTGCCTCTTGAGCAGCTAGTGTTAGAGGCGTGAGCAATTGGTGCCTGATCAGCACTAATATACTTTAAAAAATGGCATCAAACTTTCTTTTCTTATCAACTGTTGGTCCAACATCATTGACATGCTGTTTTCAATATCTAGATTAAATTCTTCATGAAATATTTACCAAGTGCCTATTATGTGCTAGACACTATTCAGTGCCTAGCAGAAAATGTCTACCAACATAAGCAAAATAATTAAACAAAGAAAGGTGGAGTTAAAAGGAATCAGAAGAATGTGAAAAAACAACCACAGTGCTTAGTGGAATCTGAGCTAGGTATATATGGTGTAACAAAAGTCAATTACCAATGTCTGTAGCAATATTAACCAGCAATTCTTTCCGGCCGATGCCTTTAGAAATATTAACAATTTTTTCTGGCCAGTAAGCAGGTTCTATACTTTATTTTATAAAAAAAGAAACTACGATTTGTAAATGATATATATTAATTTCAAGTATTAAAGTATTTTAATAAACTTACTTTTATTCAACTATTATTAGAGAGCCTTACTTTTGCTATTTTACAATGCAAAAGGCCTGAAGGTTTCATCTTAGTACCTGGTGCCACTGAAATAAAATATGGTCAGAGATTATAGGCTATCTCATCCTTTGACTTAAGGATAAAATAAACATAACTCTATCACGTTCAGTAACAATCATTTATATTTCCATATTAGGAAGGCCACTATCAGGTTTAAAAAAAAGTTACTACATTTTTTCAATACAAACAATGGAAAAAAAATCAACTAATTACCTGAGAGCTCCTGAATGCTTCTTAAAAATATAAAACCGTTTACTTGGGTGGCTGCTATGAGAGCTGGATAGATAAAACACAAATAAGATTACATTACTTTTATTATATACTAAGTCATATCTTTTTTATGACCGTGTTTCAAGTACTGGGGTTTGAACTCAGGGACTTGAAAGTACTCTACTGGTTGAGCTATGTCTCCAGTAGTTGTTTATCAGATAGGGTCTCACAATTTTTTTTGGCCCAGGCCAGCCTCAGGGACTGTGATCCTCCTACCTACGCCTCCCAAGTAGCTGGGATTACAGACATGCACCACCATACCCGGCTTGTTGAAGTTGGGTCATACTAACGTTTTTGTCCTGGCTGGCCTTGAACTGTGATCCTCCCAATCTCTGCCTCCCAGGTAGCTGGGATTACAGACTTGTGCCACCACATTAATTTCTTAGTTTTGAATGAAATAAAATAATGAAATTCTATTAGTTATTGCCATGTTCTCAATAACTGTGTCCCCCTCACCGAAATTCATATGTTAAAATCCTAACCCTCAATATCATGGTATTAGGAGGTAAAGTTTTGGGGAATGACTACATCATGAAGGACAGAAGCCTGATGAATAGAATTAGTGTCATTATAAAAGAGACCCCAGAGAGGTAGCTTGCCCTTTCTACCATGTGAGAATAGTGAGAAGGTGCTGTCTATGATTAATGGGCCCTCACCAGGAAAACCTGTATCTGCTGGCACCTTGATCATCACAGACTTCTCAGTCTCCAGAACTGTGAGAAATAAATTTCTGTTGTTTAAGGTACCCAGTCTATGGTATTTTATTATAGTAGCCCAAATGGACTAAGACAGTAATTTCTGTGTAATTCAGATTTTTATCTTACATTTCATTTTACCTGTAGCATATTTTCTAATGACATATTTCCCTGAAAACATTCTTAGGTGTTCAGGACCTCACCACTACAAAAAAAATACTCAAAGAGTTAAAAATGCAAAGAGCATCAAAGTAATTTTCAAACTATTATGAGTAAAAACAATTTAAAAGATATTTTCTAATAATGTATTTTTTGATAACAGAAACCATTATAAATAATAATTTTTTAACAAATTTCTCAAACTAAAGTTTGAGAAGCATTAGCCCTATGTTGCATTGATAGAGCCAAGCTAGCCAACACAGCAGGTCAACAGTTACACTCAGACACAGGGTAAACACCACTAGCATAATACATACACATAGGAAAAAATTCTGGCTAGCTATAATCTTAAGAAAATGTCCTCAGACTAGGTGCTATGGTAAATACAAAGAGCTTCTCTTTGTATTACAATACCAACAATATGGAGACAGCAGAATACCTGAATGTTAGAGAACTCAAAGAAAGAAATGATCCCTATGAGTAGCTCTGGTGATCAGGTACTTTGCAGAAGGTTAACTGAGAGGGAAAGAGAGGGGCAGGAAATAACCAGGAATAAGAAAAAGCCACTTTAGGTCTTGAATATGAACCAAGAATCCATTGGGAAAGATTAATCATTTTGTGGGTCTGTTTTCTAGCCACAGAGTTGGTAAGGCTGGAAATAAAAGTCCTCAATCCCTGACATACAGGGCTCAGCACAGGGCAGGAGTGATGGCGCACCATTCTGGGGGAGGTGCTGAGGCAAGGAGGGAAGCAACCTGCTACTGAAGTAGGGAAAAGCAAAGGGACTTACAAGTCCTTTAGAGAGCAATGGAAACATTCAGTTCTACAGGAGGTAATGATGAGTAAGAGCTCAATATGTAGGAAGAAAGTGCGGGTTTGGGGCTCACTGGAAATTAAGGAGCCTTGAGCCCATGGAAAATGGGAAAGGGGAGGATGGAAAGACACAAGGTGTTCCTTAAAGCCCACATGCCAAAGGTTTGACTGTCAGCCTGTGGTGCTATTGGGCAGTGTTGGAAACTTTAGGAGTTGAGGCCTAAGTGGAAGGAAGTTACGTCACTAGGGGCATGTCCTTGATGTGTATATTGGGAACCCTGCCCCTCACCCCTCTGTGCTTTGTTTACACTATGTGCTTTCCATCCCGATATATATGTATCATCACAGGCCCAAAAGCAACACAGCCAGTCAGTCATCCAAGGACTGAAACCTCTGAAACCATAAGCCAAGATTAACTTTTTCTCCTTATAAGTTGTTTATCTCAGGTATTTTGTCACAGCTATGGAAAACTGACTAAAACACATGTATTTAAGAAATACCAAAGATATTTTCCAATTTAGTCCTGTATAAGATAGAGGGAGAATTAAAGCCCCATTAGGACACTCATGTGTTTGGCTTAGAATAGGAGACCACCATTGCTCCCAGAATTGTACTAAGGGAAAAGCTAGCTAGGGCCTGAGTCAGAGCAATAGGGATATGGGTGCAGGACCACTGAAGTAGTATGGAGGCAGAGTTGTAAACTGTGGAAGGTGGATACTCAAGAAGACATGAGGCATGGTAGCAGATCAAGAGAACTCTATGGGCTTCATAAACTTGGGGCACTGAATTAATTCCAGCTGGTGCTCCACATGTACACAAACAATACCCTGAAACAGACTGAACTTAAAGGGGATTGGGGTGAAAAGGCTTTGAGTCTTAGCCCAACAATGTTTGGCCTATTTTTGCTCTTTATAGATGCCAAGTGGGTCAAAGATGAAAATATCAGCTAGTTAGAAATGAAGAACTAGATCTCAGGAAAACTCAATGTTCAAATTTGAAGATTTACAATTGAAAAGTAAAAGATAAAACTCTGGGAGGGCTAAAGTACCAAGAAAGGGAGTATAAATAGGACAGAAGAGCTGAAGAAACAAAATGTAACAATAAAGAAGGAGTAGCCAAAAAGGGAAGATGAAAAATGGGCAGTAATAATTTTAAGATTTGTAATAATAATCAAATTACTAGTTGTAAGAAATCAATCATAAACATTCTAATTTACTTTGCATTGACTTAACCTTGACAATGTTTTCTAAGGATTTCCTTCTGGTCCTTTTGTTTTTTTCAGTGTACCAAGAACTTGGATGCTGTAACTGAGGTTTCTAGGGTTTTCTTTTGTTTTGCTTTTTTCGTAATTAAAGATTTATTTGTTCCTTCATATATTTTCTGCAATAAACCCAAAATTGATGGCTGTTAAAAAAAATAAATAATTTAATACAAGTCGAGAAGTTTTGAAAGTGAGTGACTGGGGGCCGAGGCTGTAGCTCAGTGGTAGAGGACTTGCCAAGCATGTTCTAGGTCCTGGATTCCATCCCCAGCACCACAAAAAAAAGTGAGTACTTTAAACTATCAAATACTCTAAAGAAGTCATACCCAGGTAAGAATGAAGTATATCTAGTGATCGGGACATGACTGACAACTTTTAAAGGAGCAGTGTTAGCTGATATTCAAATTACAAATGGTAAAAATAACAGATAGGATAGTCAAGAATGCTCTTCACAAATGTTGATAGTAAAAGGAAGATAAGTTAATATGTAAATATAAATCTCCCTCATGTTAAAAAATATCCGAAAACATTACAGGCAGAAAGAATGTGGTTGAGAGAAAGAAATGAAGCAATGGCCCAAAATATCTGAGTAAGGTCGTAGAGAAAATGCGGGAGATGAGAAGCAGAGCTATCTTTATAAAAGTAGGCCACGTCTGTTTTCTGAGGTTAATTTCCAGATAAAGGCAAAAAAATTGAGGTAGGAAAAAGTTAATTTTGATAAAAACAAAAACTATGCCTCTGAGTAATTTATAGGCAAAGTTCGTAACTGACACTAGATGAAAATCTTGAGGGTCACAAAAAGGGTTTAAACAGATGTTGTACATAACAATAGAAATACCTTTTAAAAGACAGGACCAAATTAAAGTTAAAGATCAGAAATTTAGAGGTGATTGAATCAATCACATTTTGGTAGTCCAGAAGTGAGCATAGAGAGGTAACAAAAAGGATAAGAGATTCAAAGATAGCAAGGCTAACCCGGACTGAAGATGTAAAGGATTCTAGGATAAAAACACAGCAACACTTAAATCAGATGACCTTGAGGGTGAGGCTGACTGAGGAATTGGATTGGTGCTGTTGGAATGGGAAGAGTGATCAAGGCACTGAAAGTCTTGTGATGGTAAGAATTTCAAATCAATATTATGTATTAGGTCACATGGGATGGTGGTAAGAAAGGGAATATAAGTTAGAGGTGAATGTGAAATGCTTGAAATGCTAGCATTAAGGAAGTAAAAGTACCTGAGCTCAGACTGATAATCAAGGGGAGAAAAAAATCCTGTAAGATAGGTGCTGAAGTCATGAAAAATATGGGCAGGTGCTTCAAAGAGGTAGCCTACTCTGACCACAAAGTAACATAGAGGTCTTGTTATGGTCTTGAAGAAAATTACTTTTACTGGCTATACCTTATTTCTAACTGAAAATAAATGGAAACTATTTCAGTTTGAATTATCAACTTACCATATTTATATCTGAATGCTTTTTGTCCTAAAAAAAATCTATCCATCCTAAAGGAATAAAGGAAGCCCCTACTAATGAGGTCCAAGTAAAAGTAATGTGGGCTCTGAAGTATCTCCCTGGCATAGAGTACTTAGCAGGTGCACAAATAATGTACATTGAATCAATGTATGAAAAATAATTCCAACAGAAAAATCATGACTACATGATTCCTTTAGCTCCTCATTCCACACTTCATTGAATGAATGCAAAGACAGATGGCTGGAGAAAGGAATGGACAGACAGATGGGGGAAGCAAGGGAAAGGGACAGTGAGGTGAGAAGGGAGTAGAAATAATTCCTTAGCATCATTAAAAAACCTGGAGCCTCTCAAGTAACCATTATGAAGAGGATAACTCATGTGGCTACATGTATTTATTTGATAAATATATTGAAAACACTTAAAATTTTGTTTGACTATTAAGAAGGAGAGGAGAATAGTGAGGGTGATTAAGAAAGAGTAATACAGACAGGGTGAACTTGATCAAAGTACATTATATGCATGTTGCTAATATCACAATGAAACCCATTTATATAATTTATGCTAATAAAATTAAAAATTTTTGTTTGAAAATAATTACTTTTGACCTAAAAGAATAAAATTCTTATAGAAAAACACATTTCTCTAATAAATCCATTCTAATTTCATTAGTCTGTTCTTATAATTTTTGTCCCAATATTTTCCTAAGTTACTACATAGAAAAATAGTACAAGGGACATCCTTTAAGTTCCTTATTGTTAGACTCTTACCTTCTTGATGAGACAAACTTGCTTCTGATAGGACAACTCTGTCTTCAAAAGACCGACTTCCTGAATGGCATTTTTTTTTTTTTTGGTGTTGGAGACTGAATCCAGGGCCTCACACATTGCTAGGCAAGTGCTATATTTCTGAGCTAAACTCACAGCCTTGAATGGAAATTTTGATTGGCAGTTTACATGTTTAACTTACCTCATCATATGATTTATAAAGGCTTTGTTACAATTAGTGTTGTACTTGCAAAAATTACAATGGATATATATAGAAAAGTGGCTTGCAAAATCTTTTATTTTGGAACGACACTCAATGCACTTGTGAATTCCCCGACGACACCTTGGAGACAGAAAAAAATATATTGTACAACAAAATATGGGAAAGCCTTATTAATATTTAACTGAAGCCAAGATATTTAAATTAATATTGCCAAAAAAGATAATTTGAAAATTTGCTTTGAAGCAATCAACTAGAATACAAAAAGTCTAACACAGATTGTTTCCTTAGCATAAAAATACCAAATTAACCAATTCAACTATTTTAAGTTAAAAAGCACAAAATATAAGATTAATGTAAATGATTAAATTATAGAATGAAAACAGTAATTCAAGTTCTACTCAGCAGATATAATCACTCCCCCCCCCACAGTATTGGGGTTTGAACTCAGGGTCTCATGCTTGCTCGGCAGGCACCCTACCACTTGAGCCAAGCCTCCAGCCCCCTCCCCCATTTTAAATCATTTGCTTGGCCTTTATGCAAGATAAGTGATTATCATGTAAATGTGCAAAAGGGTTTTGTGATATGAAAGTCTTATTGAAATAAACATTTAATATTTAAGATTAAATTAGTATTGTATGTCAGGAATAAAAGATGGTACCTTAAGTTCTTCAAAGCTATGCTGATTGTATTTTTTCTGTTGCGTTGCCTCTTTTGCTTGTAAGAGGGTTTGGCTTTGCATTTAGATGTACCTGTACTTGGCTTACTTGTATTAGGTTTAGTTGCAGTGGATACAGTTGCATGAGGCTTACTTGTCTTAGATTTACTTGCATGAGTCTTTGTGGGAGTTTTAGCAGTTGTATTTTTAGACTTTGGAGGTGAGACCTGTAGAGAAGAAGTGCTTGGAGCACAACTGGAAGGTGTACTTGATGGTTTTGGCTGAACAGGTCCAAATGAGGCTCGGATAGTAACCTATAAAAACAAAAGTGACAGATACTTTTTAGAAAACTAATTGTCACAGTAGTATTAAAATATCATCTGCAAGCTCTCACATTTAGGATCAATTTTTACAAGGGTTCCAAAATAATTCAATGGGGAAAGAAGAGTCAACAAATGGTGCTGTAAAAATGGATATTCACATACAAAATAATAAATTCAAACCCCTATTTCATATTAAAACCAAATTTAACTCAAAATATATCAAAACCAAATTATAAGAGCTAAAATAGTAAGACTCTCAGAAGAAAATATGGGAGCAAACTCTCATGACCATGGTTTAGGAAATGGTTTCTTAAATATGTCACCTAAAGCATAAGCAAACAACAACAAAACAGATGAGTAGGCATAAAAATATTTGACCAAAGAAGATAAAATATTAAACATAAGAGTTACCACATAACCCAACAATTCTACTCCTAGGTATATTACTAAGAGAAATGAAAACATATGCCCATACAAAAACTTGTATATGAGTTTTTATAGCAACATTATTCATAATAGGCAAAAATGAGAAAACAGCTCAAATATCCACCAAGTGATGAATGGATAAACACTGGATTATCCATACAATGTAATATTATTTGGTCATAAAAAGGAGCAAAGCATTGAAACATGCTATAATATGGATAAACCTAGGAAAGAAACATTAAGCTAAGTCCCCAAAGATCATATATTATAGGACTCCATTTATACAAAATTTCCAGGATAGGAAAATCCATAGACAAGATTAAAGTGTGTGTGGGGTGGTAGTAGAAAAATAGAGTCGCTGCTAACTGGTAAGGCAGTTGTTTTAGGGGTGATGAAAATGTTCTGAAATTGATTGTGGTGATGTTTGCACAACTCTGAATATGCTAAAATAAACACACTGAACTGAGTACTTTAAATGGATGAATTGTATATGAATTACATTATCAATCTAGTTGTTACAAATAAATCACTGTAATACAAAAAGTTAAATATCATTATTTTGAAAATAGCAAGTATAAAACGCACTCAGGTAAGCCTCCAGTTTATTCTAAATGGTCATAACAACAAATGAAATTTACCTTCATATTTATTTACTGTTATTATAGTTTCATATTGGTTACAGTTATATGTTAACACAGATATTAATGAATAATTAGGCATTAGTATAATTACATGAGTATCAAAGAGCATATCCTATGGCTATTTTTATGATTTAGTATAATTCAAAAGCTTTCATGAATATAGAGGTCAAAATTTAAGGGCTGTGGTGTGGCTCAATGATAGAGCACATGCCTTAGCATGCAAGAATCCCTGGATTTGATTCCCAGCACCAAGGGAAAAAAAAGGACTGGGGAGACATAGCTAATTCATAGAGCACTTTCCTAGCATGTACAAGGCCACGGACTCAATCCCCAGCACTACAAAAAAAGAAAATTAAATCTCAAAGCCTGAAATAATAACTCTAGAAAGGCCTACATTAACAGATCTTCAGTAAATGTGACCTTTTCCTTGCTGGGGGCCTATTGGGCAGGATTTCTGCTTCTAAATATTATGGTGGAGGTTACATCAATTCAGCATAGAGCAGAGTTTTTTTTTTTGTGGGACTGGGGTTTGAACTCAGGGCTTTGCACTTGCAAAGCAGGCGCTCTTCTGCTTGAGCCACGCCTCCAGTCCATTTTGCTCTTGTTATCTTGGATATGGGGGGGGGGTCTCATGAACTATTTACCCGGGCTGGCCTTGAACCGCGATCTTCCCGATCTCAGCCTCCCAAGTAGCTAGGATTACAGCCGTGAGCCACTGGCGCCCGGCAGCATGGAGAATTTAATAATGCCTAATTTCCTTAATGGGAGCAAATATAAAATTTATCACTTAGTAGTTGGAAAAAGAAAATGATTACACCCACTGCTTAATAATGGAAAACACAGTCACCTGCTGCTGAAATTTCAGTGTGACCTCTTCCTAACCATGTGACCTTGAGTAAGGAATTTATTCTATCTAAGCCTTCTCATCTATAAAACAGGGATATAACACCTGCCTTGTCTACTTTATTAGATTGCTGCCTGGATAAAATAAACAGAATTATGAAAAAGTATACCAAAAACTTAATTCTAAATGCTTTAAGACATCAATAATATTAAGATAGTGATATTATTAATACTGCCATTACTATTGCTATATTACTAGTATGGAAAGATATAGGAGGACTGATGTCTAGCCCCAATATGAAATAAAGACTGTAGAAGGATACTGGATAGTCTCTCTCACTCTAGATGTTCAAAGCATTGCTCTGCATTATTTTAGTTAATTCCAATAGCAGATATAATCACATTCAAATGTACATACTCAAAGACAAACATGAATGTTTGAGGATTATTCATTTTAGAATATGCATCCCTCGGCTGGAACAAATATTCAAGAGCTAGCTTTTTATAAAGAAGTCAGAAAACATGCACATATGGCAAGCAGGTAAAAGGAAATCTGTAGTGAGATGTGTTCTTTTCTTTAGAAGCAGTAATGCTATTCAGGCACAGAACTTGTTTTTCTGGTAGTTGAGTAATACCAACTTCAACAAACCTATGGCATTAAAGGCACTGTGACAGATGTTCATGACACAAAGTTATTCATGATTCTTTTTTTTCTTTATTCATATGTGCATACATTGTTTGGGCCATTTCTCCCTATTCATGATTCTTGATCTCAAACACTTTACATTCTTGGCAGCTGAAATAGACCTATGCACTGCCAACTGGAATAGCTCAAAAACAACCTGTAGAATACTGAAACTACCCATTGAATCAGCCTAGTCAATCTATCTGTACTCACTCAAAGGAGTATCACTTCAACAAAGTACACTGTCAATCAACTAAAAAAAAAAATCAATGGGTTAGAAGTTTTACTATCTAAATATAAGAATGATAAAAACCTAAATTTACATTCTTAAAAGCAACCAGAGGTCAATTTTTCATATTATAGTCAATAGATAAAATCAGACAGGAGCTTATTTCTATTTTACAAAATGTTAAAATACATCATATTTAACACTCACTTTTGTTCCAGGAGGCAATCCTTCTAGTTCTTTAGGCTTTATAAATGTACGATGCTGTGTCTTGTGATCTGTTTTCTCCTTGCAGGTCAAAAACTGTAGTCTGCATTTTGTACAACGATGAATTCCTTTTTTCTGTTTATAGAGAATATTAGAAATAATATTAAAATACTAACTCCTTTTTTTTTGATTTTTTTGAGACAGGGTCTCACTATGTAGCCCAAACTTGTCTTGAACTCACCATGTAGCCCTACTATGCAACCCTACAACTAGTGATCCTCCTGCCTAAGGCTCCTGAGTGCTGGGATTACACATGTGCAATGCTATGCCCTGGGACCCGAAAAATTCTAATTATCTAAATAATTTCAAAACCAGCCAGGTGCCGGTGGCTTATGCCTGCAATCCTAGCTACTTAGGAGGTAAGAGATTAGGAGGATCACAGTTCGAAGCCAGCCTGGGCAAATACTTCACAAGACCCTGTCTTAAAAATACCGAACACAAAATAGGGCTGGTGGAGTAGATGAAGTGGTAGTACGCCTGCCTAGCAAGCCTGAGGCCCTGAGTTCAAAGCCCAGTACCGCCCCAGCCTTTAAAATAATAAAAAAAACCCAGTATTTTTAAATAGTCTTCCCTATTTTTCTCTTTCAGTGGTAGAGATTGAACCTAGGGCTTTATGCTACTACTGAGCTATACCCCAGCCGATTTCTTTCTTTTTTTTTTTTTTGCAACGCTAGGGATCAAACTCAGGGCCTCATGTAGGCTAGACAAATGTATTATTTCATTTTGAAAAGCATGCCTTGCATTAGTATTTGAGTTTCAAAAGTATTTGTTATTTATAAGCACCAAACATGAAAATTGTTATCAATTAGAATCTAATGGGAAAAGTCCTATAATAATTGTGGTATGAAAGCTCTTTTAATTAAAACCTTGAAGTATAAACTATTCAAATGCATGATATTGTGAAAATGAATTGCATTATATCTTTATCCTTAGAAAAAGTAAATTCTTTATAATTTTTGCTATTTCCATTTGTTTTGCAAGTTAGTAAAACAATCTTCTAAAATCAAACAAACCTAACCAGAGACTCCTAAGAAAATTATGTAACAGAAATAGTTGTACGACAGTCCTATCCAACAGAAACTTCTGCAATGATAATCTTCCTATAGCTGCACGATCCATTAGGGTATCTATTAGTCACATGCAACCGCATGAGAACTTTAAATGTAATAAACACAACTGAGAAGCTGATTTTCTCACTTTATTTAGTTTTACTTAGCCTAAATTAAAAAAAAAACAGACAAGACTATTAGCAATATTGAACAGCATCTATATGGAAGCCTAAATGAGAACTCTTCTCAATCTACTGTTTGACAACCCCTTGACTGAGTTCTTCAAACCTAGTCCCATTACTATTTTACCAATGGGAAATAGGACCCCAGAAAAATCTGTCACTTGCCCATAGCTGGTTAGTATTCTTTCTACTACGTATTATTAATTGCAATCTTTATGTGTATGGTCTCATTAATTAAAATATGCATTTCTATTGCACAGTTTTTGGAAATCTTCTTCCCTGTACCAATACTTCATCCAATTTCATGGCTTTAAATATCAGCCATCCAACTGTCTATCTGACTTGTTTATCTGACTTAAATGCCCAATAGGTATTTAAAGTCAACATGAACAAAAGTGAACTCCAGATTCCCCTCCATTCGCTCTGTGTATACACGTGTATATGTGTAGTGCTGCTGTCGAAATGTGTTCCTTCTATACTTTTCTCAACCACTGCTACCATCCATGCTACCCTAAAGCCACTCATGGACTCTTGCAATAGGGTCCTATCTTCTCCCTCTTTCTACTCTTCATTCCCCTACAGTTAATTCTTCCCCTGGTTACCGGAGAGATCTTGAAAACACTGCAGATCTTTCCATGCTTAAACCCTCCAGTGGCTTTCCATAATACTTCAGAATCCTGACTCCAGCCTACAAAAGGCCCTCCATGGTCTGGTTTGCCTTGTATTATTGCCACCTCATTTACAACTTTTCCTTCTACTAATAAGTAGAAGACTGTACTCCAGTCACGTTGACCTCCTTGCTGTTCCTCCAACATCCTAGTCATGGGCATCACCTCATTATATACTTCTGTTCCTTCGGCCTGGAACATTCTCTCCCAGATAGCCGTATGAGATACTCCCTTATCCCCTTTGTAGAGGTCTCTTTGACCAATTCTAGTAAAAAAAAAAAAAAGAGAGAACTACTACTTACCTAACCCTAGAACTCCCTATCATTTATTTTCTTCCCATTGTATTTATCATTAGCTAGCATGTATGTATGCATTTGGCAGTACTGGGGTTTGAACTCAGGGCCTCACACTTGCTAGACAAGCACTCTACCACTTTTTTTTTTAATTTTTATTTTATTCGTATGTGCATACAATGTTTGGGTCATTTCTCCCTCCTTCCCACACCCCCTCCCTCTCCCCCCCACCCCCTCAATATCCAGCAGAAACTGTTTTCCCCTTATCTCTAATTTTGTTGTAGAGAGAGTATAAGCAATAATAGGAAGGAACAAGGGTTTTTGCTGGTTGAGATAAGGATAGCTATACAAGGAGTTGACTCGCATTGCTTTCCTGTGCGTGTGTGTTACCTTCTAGGTTAATTCTTCTTGATCTAACCTTTTGTCTAGTTCCTGGTCCCCTTCTCCTATTGGCCTCAGTTGCTTTAAAGTATCTGCTTTAGTTTCTCTGCATTGAGGGCAACAAATGCTATCTAGTTTTTTAGGTGTCTTACCTATCCTCATACCTCCCTTGTAGCACTCTACCACTTGAGCCATTCCATCAGTTCACCCTCCCTTCCCCTCACACACTAACTTTCTTCACCATAATGCAAATTCCAGCGGGCACAACTTTGCTTTTCTCACTTGTATATTCCCAATACCTGAAGTAGTCCCTGGTATATATTAGGCTCAACAAATGATTTGTTAAATAACTAGTGAGGTAGATAGATAGCAAGAGACTGTCTAAGCACACATGAGCAGCAGGCACCATTTAACTATTTCAGAATGTCAGAGTATTATCTAGAACCTGGAGAAGAGACATTAATCTACTATTCTCTTAAAATTAGACTTAATAATAATGTACAATAGCAAATCTCTCTTCTGCATGTATGTTTGCAAAGTGCTAAGGATAAGGATGACACGGTACATTTTTAAAAATAACATGGTGCGCAACCAAAGAAACAATGATTTGTTCCAAGAGTACAGAAAAACTTGCTTGTGTTGAAGTTTTTGACAAGCATGTTATTGTTTGGGTTGGTTGAGGGATTTTTTTTTTGGCAGTACTGTACTTTGAACTCAGGACCTTGCACTTGCTAGGCCACTTGAGCCACACCCCCAGCTCTTTTTTTTGCTGTAGTAATTTTTCAGGTAGGGGCTCATGTTTTTAATCTGGGGCTAGTCTTAGACTGTGATCATTCTACCTATGGCTGCACTTGTAACTGGTACCATAGGCATACACCACCATATCTAGTTTATTGAGATCGAGTCTCACTAACTTTTTGCCCAGGCTGGCCGCAAACAGAGATTTTTCTCCATCTCAGCCTCCCAAATAGCTGGGATTATAGTCATGACTCACCCTTCCCAGCCTCCGAGTTGAAGGATTTTCAAAGGTAATGTTGACTATCTGTCATTTCTGCCTTTAGACCTATTGTCAGTGTGGACTATGACTCTGTGGAAAAAAAGTGTGAACTCTAAGTCAATTTTTAGCTGTGCCATTTGGTGGAGAATGTGATATTGGGCAAGTTACTCTCTATAAAGCTTTGTTTCCTTGTCTATAAAATATAAATAATCAGATGCCTGCTTCATAGGATGACTGTAAAGATTAAGAAAAATACTGTATATGAAAGCACCAGTGGCTGGACATGGTAGCTCAAGCCTTAATTTTAGCTACTTGGGAGGCTGAGATCAGGAAGATCATGAGGTCAGCCAGGGCAAAAAAGTTTGTGAGACCCCATCTCAAATAATGCTGGGAGTGGTGGTGTGTTTGTCATCTCAGCTATATGGGGAAGCACAAATAAGAGGATTATGGCCCAGACCAGCCCAGGCATAAAGCAAGACCCAACAATAAGAAAACCAAGACCCAACACAAAGAGCAGAGGGAATAGTTCAAGTGGCAGATTTCCTGCCTAGCAAGCATGAAGCCTTGAGTTCAAAACCCAGCACTGCCAGAAAAACAAAAGCACCAGTGGCTGTCATATGGCAAATGATTAGTATATTTTTTTGTTATTGCTAATAAGTTAATGAAGATATTTAATACATTGTTCTTTTCAAAAAACAAAGGTCAAAAGATGAAATATAGAAGACAGAGAACAGTGTTTCCCAAACACTATTCCTCAAGAAATAGGCATTGTACAAATAAAAGGTTTTATGGTCAAACAAGTTTGGGGAGCATTATATACTATGTTTTTTATTACAGATTTATATCTATTACAATGTAAAAAGCTCTTAAAAAGCTGGCCATGGTGGTACACACCTGTAATTTCATCACTAAGGAGAGAAGGCTGAGGCAGGAAGATCATGAGTTCGAGCAGTGTGGGCTACATATTGGAGAGCTTGTGTCAAACAAAAACAAAAACAAAAATCGGGGATGGGGCATGCCCAGCTCAAGTGTTAGAGCACTTGTCTAGCAAGCACAAGGCTCTGCATTTAAACCCCAGTACAGCCAAAAAATAATACTAATAATAATAAAAGAAAAAAGAAAAAAAATTCTAAAAAAATCCTACTTTTAAACACAAGCAAAAAAATTCTATGAATTTTGAAAGTCTGGTCATTTTCTAAACTTCTTTCATCAGAAACTTTTTGAGAGAACACTGTTGGGGAATCCTACAATAAAAAGATTTTGTAAGGGGTTCTTAAAAAATTAAGTATGTTTGTTATCAGTCCAGTGACAAACATAGATGATCCTGAATATACCTGAAAATTCGGCTTTTCTAATTTTTTTTCCAATGAACAACTACAAGTTGACTTCATGACTATCTACTGACTAGAACCATAAGCCATGTTCAGTACCAGTACTGATTAAACTGAACATGATAGTGCAATCAATAATAGTAAGAGTTAATGAGCTGGTCAGTGAGAAGGCAAGATTTGATTACAAAATCAGATTCAGTAAGACCATTAACTTCTCCTTTTGGCAAAGGTACTATTGCTCTTCCATACATTCAAGAACAGGCTGCTGCATCAAAGTTTCCAGCCCAAAGGAAGGTCTAATTGTTTCAGGGAAAGATAAAATCAGAATTCAAGGGAAAGATGCAAGCACTAGTACTGGTATCCTGGAAATTACATAGCAGAACTGGCAAAAAGTCATTAAAAATACAAATTTACAACCTAAATATAGTTCTCCGGCATAGCTCACATATCTAGTAGTAAGTGCCATTGCTGTTTCCTTTGTTACCAAGCTGTTTTAAGAGACCTTCTGGGTTACTGAAGACAAATACACATCTTCTTATAACTAAAAGTTGGCCACAAGTGAAAATAAGATTTGAAGAGAAAGAGGAAACCAGAAGTTTATGAGTCCTCTGTCTTAGCTTGCTCAGTTCAAACATCCTTATCCCTGCCTTTGATAACTACTTGCAGATCATTCCATTCCTAACACTCCTAGGCCTCAAAACGTCTAGCCGAAACACTTCATTTATCTTCCCCTTTCCCTGTACTCTGGTTCCTATTTCTAGCTGTCTTTATTTCTATTTGTGGCCCCAGCAACATTGGAAAGAAGACAAGAAAGTGGCAGTTTCACAAATATTTTAGCAAAAATTGTACACTAACTATATCATTTGGAGCAACTTTACATTCTGTCCAGGACAAATTTAACCAATGTTCTAAATATGTATATCTTTTTAGTAGGACAACATGATTAAGTAAGAAATGTTAAATCTCACCTGATGCTTCATGTAATGATTCATGTAGGGGGTTGCCATTCTACTAACTTTGAGGCAAAATGGACATAGCAAGTTCTTAGTGTTTTCATGGGACACTCTAAAATGATTTTCTACATCAGAAAATGTTGACGATCTAAACTGGCAAACCTAGAAATATAAGGAGGGGTTAGTTTAACTTGAAACTTTATACTTGCATACAATTATATCAAATTAGTAACAATGAGTCATTTGCTTAGAAGAACATTCAATGCATGAGTTCAATCAAGGGGGTTTCCGCTTAATGCGGAGGCTCTTCAGTTTTAGTATCATAACTAGTTTTATTTATTTCTTAAAAATCAGAAAATCAATATTATTTCATGGCACATGAAAACTAAACAAATACCTAAGTATACAATAAAATGTGTATGTACCTGGCAAATATATGGCATTTCACCGGGTTTATGAGTGTCCTTCATATGTTGTAAAAGAATATGCTCTGTTTCAAATGACAATTCACAAATTTTGCAAATTGCTGAAAATTGAAAAAATACAAGACACCAATTTAAGGATGTACATAAACAAGGATGCTTTCTATAAATCCACACAAACAACAACTAGAAGTAACTACAGTAATTCTACAAGTAATAGTGAGAGTGATTTTAACAGCTCTATCACTGCAACACTGTAACTCTGTAACACTGTTCTAAGGGGCTGGGAATATAGCTCAGTGGTAAGAGTACTTGCCTTGCATATGCAAGGCCCTGGGTTCTACCAAAAATTGGAATACTGTCTAGCTTATTTAATTATCATATCATCACTGAGGGATGTACTGGTATTTTTTCCCCCATTTTTCAGGTAAGGAACCAGAAGCACAAAAAGATCAAGTAACTTGCCTAAGACCCATAGCTGCATTAAGAGACAGAGCTGAGATGTGAACCTAAGCTGTACAGTTACCAGACTGCAAGCAGTAACCACCATTGTAGTTACCTTTCATATTAAAGAGTAAACTAAGGCCACTGATTTTATTTAAAAACTATGGAATCTGGGTGTTCTAATTTAGTCCCCTACACACAATGCATGAGTTATGCCAAGAAAGTTCTCACTAATGAGTTATTTACAAGAAGGGTTTTAATTTTAGCAACAAATTTAATTTAAGTTTATGAGTTAAAACTTGTTTTTCAACTTTGTCCTCAAACTAAAACGTCTATTTCTTATTATTGTTCCATCAGAATTCTTAAGGTTCCCTCATAGTCAATGATCAAAATCAGCAATATTCAGGACTTCCATGAAATTGTCACTTACTAGAGAACTCATGGGGAGTGTGTGTACTCTCGATGTGGCACTGCAGCTGGAAGGGTGTGGGATACTGCCGGTAGCAGTGTTGGCAGGTGGTATGGTTTTCCCAGCTCTCACTGTTCTGCTTCTCAAGTTCCAAGTGGTGTTTCATATGGTTCATGAACCTACAAATGATTGTCAACAGATTTATAAACACAGAAAACCTCAAAAAAGTATCTGAACCTAAATTTAAAAAAATGCAATTGTATGGATGCAACTAAAAATAACATCTCTATTTAATGCCCTCTAGAAAAGTGTGTGCTTTAGATGGGTGTGGTGGCATATGCCCATAGTTCTAGCTACTTGGGAGTCTGAGGCTGAAGGATCACTTGAGGTTGTGAGTTTAACATGGCAAGGCCCCATCTCAAAACAAAAAGTGTGCACTTTAAATAATTTTATTAAGTGGTTCAGTAAACATTTTTCTTTTCATCTTTTTTTGTTTTGGTAAAGAAAGGTAGCAGCCTTCTTTTCCATATGCTAAATACCATTTACATTTCAAAATAAAATACTTAGAGGAAGGAAACTATTACCAAAAGTAGCTAGTATCTTCAAAGAAATCTTTTCAAGACCTTGTAGATATAGTGTGTGTTGTTTTTGAAATGTATATAATAACAATGTCACTGCTTATAATTACAAAACTGCTTTTACTTAAAGATACTGGTTTACTGTTGTTACAAACTGTTATGGTTTGAATCTGAGATATCCCCCAAAAGGCTCATGTGTTGGGGGGCTTGGTTGGAAGCTGATGGGCTCTTGGGAAGTGCCTGGATCCTGAGGGCCCTGAGCTAATCAATGGATTAATCCCTCGGTGGATTAATAATACAATGGCAGTATTGGGGGTGTGTGTAGGACCTAGTCCAGGGAAGTGGATCACTGTGGGTATTCCTTGGAATGATAAACCTTGTTTCCACATCCTTTGTGTCTTGCTCTATTTCTTGGATAACATGAAGTGAACAGCTTTCCTCCGTCATGCCCTTCTTCTATGTTTTTACCTTGCCAAGGAACTAAAAGCAATGGAGCCAGCCAACCCTGGACTGAAACCTCTGAAACAATGAGCCAAAATAAACCTGTCCTTATTTAAACTGTTTCTCTCAGGTATTTGTCACAGTGGTGGAAAATCTGACTAATAAAATGTTGAGTTTTCTTTGCAGACTGTATTCTTTGTAGCATCATCCATTTTTCAGTTTCATATGCTGTTATTTCAGTTTCCCTAAAAGGCTTCTTATGAGAAGGATTTGTGATCTTCAATGGTAGAGAGTATAATATAAATGGGCATACCTATTTTTTGTGGTACTGGGGTTGAACTCAGGGCCTCATCCTTGCTAGACAGGCACTCTACCAGTTGAATCATGTCCTCCACCCTTTTTAGCTTTTATTTTTGTGATAGGGTCTCAAATTTTTGCCAGGACTAGCCTAGAATGCAATCTTCTTATTTATGCTTCTCACGCAACATGCTACCATGCCCAGCTATTAGTTGAGATGAGGTCTCACTAACTTTTTGCTGGGGCTGGCCTCAAACTGTGATCTTTCAATCTTCGTCTCCCAAATATCTGAGATTACAGGTGTGAGCAACCTTGTCTGGTTGGTATACCTATTTTGAAGAGCATACTTTTGGTTGAATTTCCAAGAAAAGTTGTTCAATCAAAACAACAATGATAAGATTGGATCAACTATTTACAATAATTCACTATGAGTCCCTAAAGAAAACAATCCTAAAATGGAGTGATAATATCATCAACCTAGATAACCAATCACTGTAAAGGTTTTTTGACATTTATCTCATTTTTAAACTCCAAAATACCAATTCTCTTTGGAACTGGTTATGGTATACCTTATAATATCGTCTTTATTTCTTTGGTTTTGGTAAATATCTGTAATTTACTTTGAACAGTATCCAAAAAAACCTGGATAGTTCTGTGGATGAATAGATATGTGGTAAAGCAAGTATACGTGGAGATCTCTAATCTGAAATCTGAACTGCTTCAAAATCCAAAACTTTCTGACCACCATTTTGATGTCAAAAGTAGAAAATTTTATACCTCTTGTGATAGATCAAAGTCAAAATGCAGATGCACTAGAAATATTGTACAATATTACCTTATGATAAGTTTATAAGGTATGTGTGAAACATAAATAAATTGTGTGTTTAGACTTGGGTCCCAATCCCAAGACACCTCATTATATATGTAAATATTTCAAGATATAAAAAAAAAAATCCCAAATCTAAAACACTTCCTTCCCCAAGCATTTTGGATAAAGGATACTCAACTTGTTTAGTAAAATGTTAATAGTAGAATTGAGGTGGCAAACAGACAATGTTCATTGTAAAATGTTTTTAATTTTGTTGAATATTTGAAAATTTTTATTATAAAATGTTGGAAAACAATGTCACCTAATATAAATGTCAAGCTATAAAGGCAATGAAAATTACCAATCGATATGTCTTGTTACTTTGCTTTGTTACAATCTTAAGAAGATAGATATGTAATATATACATGCCATATAATTGAAAGACTGTAAAGGATAAGTTCCTAAAATTTACAATCTTTAAAATTCCATTGGGGATTGTAAATCTCTGTATTTTAAAATGTATTAAATTATAAAATCAAAGCAGATATGTTGCAAAGAACTTAACTTCCTAAAGGATACCACAAAAAAGTCACTTTCTCTGTATGGTAAATATGTTAAGATTATAAGTATGAACTGAGAAATCTGAGCATTAAATAAGACTTGGTATTGGGGAGGTCAGACTGGATAAAGTGGGTTTTTTGGTGATATAAAGAAATGTAAGATTCAAAAGCAACTAGAAAATAAAAACATCTCTCAGAAACTTCTAGTTCAATGATAAATATTGGGAAAAGAAATAATTTTCCCTGTTACAGTACTTTTTGTCCTTTCTTAAGCTATCTGAAAAAAAAAGCACAATGAAGTAGACTCAGGAGTCAAACTATGAAAATACAACAGAGGACAAAACTTTTCAGCATAATAACCTACCTTTCTTCTTAGTAGTAGAAAGTATTAAAACTGCTTACCTAAGTTGATCATGAACAACAAAAGTACAATATTAATACTAAAAATAATGATACAAATTGTATTATAATTTTCAAACAAATAAAAATATGTATTTACATACCTAATATTATTTTTAAGAACTTTCAAACAACTGAAGCATTTAAAGGTTGTATAAGTCTTCGGTTCTTCCTCAACAGCTCCTTCATGTCTTCCATAATAAAAGTCACTAACTAACATGATCAATTTCCCTTTCTCTGAACCAATGTTTGCTGTATTTTCAGCACATGAAAGTTCTGGTTTAGCAGTTCCTGATAAGTTATTTCCCATGTCTGGGCAACAACGCTGAAAAAGGAAAAAAATATAAGCCTTATTTATATCTCTTATAAAGATCAGATACCAAAAACGAATTGTGTTTATAATTAGGGCCAGATCATGTAAAGCCATTCTTGGCAATATATCTGGAAAGATATTCACCAATATGTTGGCTTCCTTCCTTATGAATTCTAAAATATTCACTAATAAACACCTACAATCTTAATAAAGAAATAAATTCAAAAACAAATAGAAAATTTTAAGATCAGGGACATCTATTTATCTAATCCCTTTTATCTTCTTTTCAGATGTAAATACTCAAATTTTGCTTCTTGGCAATATTTGTGTCAAAGTATAAGTTAAAAGAAAAGGTTTTATATACATTATATATGAGCCTCAGTATCAAATAACACAGTGGTATTTTAGTAAAGCATGGTTGCAACTAGACTTTTTTTTTTTTTCAGTACTGGGTATTGAATTCAGCGCCTCCTAGCAAGTGCTCTAGCCATGGAATTAGACTTTGAACACAGCTAACCTGACATTCTTCAGACTAAAAGAATGGTACTAGACATGTGGCTCTCAAAGAAAAACCTCATTTTGAAAACCTCTGCACATTCTATCTAAAATGCTTAAATATCGTGAAGAAATTTACCTCATGAGTTAAAATCAAGACTTCATTTAAACTGATCCTAATATGAAATACTTTTCATACATAAGCCCTTTTGTCAAAAAGAAATTTAATTTATTTTATTGTACACAATTCAGTTGTAGAATTTCTCTGGAAGGACTTTCTAAGAATAAATGGAGAACAAAAATAAAATGGGAGAAAACATTTGCAAATTATGTATCTGACAAAAAGTTAATATCCAAAACATAAAATAATTCTTACCACTCAGTAGCAAAAAACCAAATAAACTGATTTAAAAATAGGCAAAGAAACTGAATAGACATGAAAGGGCACTCAAAATCATTAGTCATAAAAATGCAAATCACAATGAGATACTACCTCATACTTAAAGACAAAATATAAGTTGGCAAAGATATGGAGAAAATATAGTTCTTATATACCACTGGTGGGAATATAAATGGCACAGCCAATATGGAAAACGTTTGGAGGTTCCTCCAAAAAAAAAAAAAAAAAAAAAAAAAAGAACAATGCTACTTCCGGGTATATATTCAAAGGAATTGAAATCAGGATCTCAATGACAAACCTGCAGTCACATGTTCACTGCAATATTATTTCCATGTCTTGGCCAAGACATGAAAACAATCTAAATGTCTATCAATGTACAAATGGAGAATGTAGTATATACCTATTATGGAATATTTTCTGGCCTTAAAAATAGAAGGAAATCCCACCATTTGCAACAACATGGATAGACTTGGAAGATATTATGTAAAGTGAAATAAGTCAGCAACAGAAGGACAAATATTAAATGACTTCTCTTATATGAGAAATCTAAAATAGTCAAACTAATATTGTAGACAGTAGAATGATGATTGCCATTGTCTGGGGAAATGGGCAACTGGGGCCATATAAATCAAAGGGTACAAAGGTTCAGTTATTGCAGATAAATAATCCCTAAAAACCCACTGCACAGTATAGCACCTATAGTTAGCAATACTGTATTGCATACTTAATAATTAAGAGGGAATATTTTATAGGCAGGCAGAAACTTCTAGAGGTGATGAATATGTTTATGGCATAGATTGTGGTAGTTTCACAGATGAATACTTATCTTCAAATTCAGAGTTGTGTACACGAAGCAGGTAAAGGTTTTTGTTAAATAAAGGGACAAGACTACATAATAAAACTTGTTAGGGTAGAAAAAAGAAACTTTCCTAAAAATCCAAGCTATATACACAAAACAAGCACAAACTGAGAAACATAACAATGTCTGACAGAACCAAGAGCAAATAAACCTATCCTACCAATTACATCTCTCCTTTCAATGAATATAAATAGGTTTAACTCAACTTCTAGAGAAAAGAAGTATTCATATAGGATGAAAAATGAAAAAAACAACTCTGGTCAAAGTAAGAAATATACTCAGAACAAAATGACTTGGAAAGTTTGAAAACAAAAGGATAAACTAAGAATATAATAGGTAAATGCAAACAAGAAAGCAAGGTTTGTGAGCCTGATATCAAACAAAATGTATTCAGAGCAAAAAGTTTTAAACACTAATACAGAAAAGGATAGTAGGGTATATTCACAACAAAGTGATAAAAGATAGATCCATCTGCATCCTAAGGAGTTATATCACAAATGGTACTGGAAAATATCAAAGAAAATGTTTATATGTGAGGCTTGGATTCACCTTTCTCAAACACCGAGGGAGGTCGTCATAGTAAAAGATCCAATACAGTTTTGCCCCAGAGTATAGAGTTCTGAAGCTGGAATTTTAGAACACTCCTTTGCCCCTGTAGTTTTATTTGGAATATTGAGTAATAACTTTTCTTCAGATGCTTCTTTGTTTTGGACTCTTCTCATCTCTTTTTTATCATGTATCATCTACATTACCTTTTTTCTTGCCTCCTTCCTCACCTCATTACATAGATAGAACAAAATACTGTATTACCTACCAAAATATTTTAAGTGAAGTGTCCCCTAAAAACCCATACTTCATTAGTACTTGAAACTTACCTAAACCTAAGATCAAGAGCTTCCTACACCAATATAGAGCTATTAACTATAGATCTTTGTAATTATATAAACTATATTCTAGATTGAGTTAAAACTATCATTTCATGTGAAATGTTCCATCATTAGGAGTTACTGCCGAGTATTGAAGATGAAAATGTAAAACTAAGATTTTTATTGAGTAATATGCTATGGATATTACATGATATGGATATGGATAAAAAATTAAGTAATTTATAGGAAGGATTAAGCACCTAATAATAATGCCTGCTTTACAAGTTTGAAGAATAGAATGATTTAGTTAATAAATATTCTGATTTAATACATTATTTTCATTTAAAATTAAAGTGCTGTATGCACATACTGTAGTCTATGTGTGAACTTAATTTTTAGCATTTAATGACTGGAAGAATTTTAAAATCTTATGTAAAGATAATCAATATGAATATCAATTTTTGCTTGTTATATGAAAACACCAATATGAGAAGATTTATTTTCTAACATCTGGACAAGTCAGCATTTACTCTACATTATACGTTAGTAATTTCAGGATTTGTACATGTTTTCAAAAATCAGCTTCTGAGAAAAATGTTACCTTCATGTGGCATTTCAAAGGATCTAAAAGGGTGAACTGAACATTGCATTTTGGACAAGATCTTAGGAAAGGTGCTCCAGTTTTAGACTGAGTTGATGAGGTATCCGAACCTGAAAGAAATCAGAGATTTTAATGAGTCAAACTTGTCTTTTTTAAACCTTAAATAATCACTAGTAATAGTTTAAAAAATCCATCACAGTTTCTAAAATTTATGTATAAAAATACTTTTTTTTCTATGCTGGATTTTATACTTACCTGCCGATACCATAACCTGGGAAGATGCCTCTGAAGTAGAGTTATTTAAAGATAACGAAGAGGAGGGATTTGCTTCAGAAACGCTTTCGCTGGTCTTTGGCTTTTTTGGATTAATACTGTTTACTTTAGAAGTAGAAGGACGTTTTAATCCAAACGAAGTTTGATCCATACCTACAAAGATTTAAACGGTGGGAAATACAGTTACTTCAGTATAGACTATTACTTACAGAAAACTTTTACTAAAATGGCCTTACATTTAAAATTAAAAATATTTTAGGGCTAAATTAAATATAAAGTAATTGAATCATCCTATCATACAAATGACAAAAAAAGATGAAAATTTATATAACCAAGAGGAAGAAATTAAAATGGCTTGTATGGACTACATATATTTGAAAAATTTATGACATAAACTTTATGCAAGAAAATTCTAGGAGAATTCCAAGATGGCGGCTAGAGGTAGGAAGCAGAAAGCGAGCCTCCATAGTGAAATCTGGAGAGACGCTGGAGACACACTT